ACTTGTGGAGGCTCTGATTCAGCAGCTTCCCTGACAGGGACACTAACACGGCCTTCATCGGTGGCAGAGGTGGGCCGCAGGGAGGAAGCGACCGTCGATATACCAACTTCGCAGAGTAGTGACCATGTGCTCGTATCATAGGCGAACTCGTACAGGTCACACTTGTTGGTGTACCCAAAGTGGGAGCCGCTACCACCAAAGACAAACATGGACCCCGCCAATTCATCTGAGGCCGCAGTGTGGGAGGCCCGTCCGCTGGGCTTGTCGCCATGGCCCTCGATCTTGGACCAGGCCAGGCTGTGCAGGTCCAGCTGGTAGAGGTCGTCGAAGCACTGCTGGCCATCGAAGCCACCGAAAATATAGAGGAACCTGGCCAGCTAACTTCAAGCGGGACCATCAGACTTTGCCTACCTCGATCGGTAGATGCACGCCGTGTGACCACTGCGGACCCTTGGGGTCTCTCCAACACAGTTGGTCAAAGGCTCCCAATACGGGTACTGTCGACTGTTGCTAACCACTGATGCATCCTGGTTACTGTCAGAGGGCGAGTCGGCCGCCGACTGGGCTACTTGGGGACCACACCGAGATGAATACAGCGCGGGAATGACAAAAACGGAGACTAAAATTAGACAGGCCACCTTCACATTGACTATAACACAACACCGCTCAACACCTTAGAGCAACAACGAGCAACACCATATCATGTAGCTTCAACAGCACCAATTTGAGTGCCCTCCTCGGCCAGAGCCTGCTCTCGCTTGGCCCTTCTGGCCTCTCTTCTTTTCCTCACCAACTCCTGCTGTTCCTCCTTCACCCTCACTCCCTCAGATGGGGCCGTTTCTGTTACCGCCGACGGGCCTCGACTGCCACCCTGTGTAAAGAGCACAGTAGTAGTAGTAGTAGTAGTAGTAGTAGTAGTAGTAGTAGTAGTAGTAGTAACGGAGTAGCGTATAGACCCACAGATAGCAATGACGCCTTCCTCATCCTATGCAGGGCCGTTGATGCCAGGAAGCTTGGACGGCTCGGTGCTACACCGTGGCATGAGATCATGTTGTAGTATGAAATTCACTCACCATGGCCTGAGGTTCTACCACTAGTACGTCGTTTTAGGCGGAGGGAGCTATTCAGACGACTTGACCGTCGCCTAAAACAATGATCTATATACACATAACGAGTGCTGGTGTCTACGAGGCCGCCGAGGACTCCAATGGAAAGAGTGGATAAGCTTGATTCAAGGGGCCGATGTCCACCTTGGGTATGTATGGGAAAAGCTCACCTACGACGAGGAAACTAATCTGGGTATGGAGAGCGTGCATACCCTGTAGGAAAGCTTGATAGTAGAGGCCCGTTTCCTTCATCTGATAGTGGAGTGGTACCCAGGCTCGGATGTGGTCCACTGGTGGTATCAACGTTTTGTTCGTTTGTAGGTCGAATGGGACCTCCGCCAGCATCCCTAAGGACCAGCAAATATTCAGTAATCTTCCATCGAACCCTACCCCTCAGCTCTGCTATCGAGAGCCCTCCAGCACTGTCCGTGTGCCTCATGACAGCTCTCTGGAAATGCCATACATCGACAGGGCCTCGTCCATGGTCATTCCAGATGTAAGAAGTGACCAACTGGACCTGACGACCACACCACCACCAAGTAGCACGCAAACGCACTTTGAAGAAGATACCAATTGCTTCTCGCAAGTGTCCTTGTCCACCGCCCCTTGGGGTCCTTGTTGCTCCTCATCGTCATCCTTAGTCTCATTAGCTGCCACTGCTGACTACAAACAACAACCCATGTTCGACCATCTGGGCCAGCCGAGGGTACACCAACCTGCATGAGCATGTTCAACTCATTAGCCTCAGCATTAGCCTTGGCGTCCTCGAGAAGACGAGACACTTTAGCGGCTTCTACAAAGAAGGCGCCCCCAGGGGCCGTATCGAACAACCACGAGACGAGGGAAACCGTGTTGGTAAGGAAGTCTGTGATTTCCTAAGACCATCGACCGTCATAATGAGGCCCCACCAAGCACAGTGCTGACCACAAGCCCATGAAGGTTGGTCTTGAGGGACATTAGGAGGATCCTGATGGCAATCCTGGGCAACGCTAGAGCCCTAGCAGAGAGTAGCACTCCTCGTAGTTGCCATAGAGGGGCGCTACGTGGTAGATCAACACCTGATATCAATGACATACATCAGCTCACCCGTAGCATTCGTACTGGCCCTCTCCCAAGTGGGCCCTCCAGCCTTGAGGACATCCACGAGATGCCGATAGATCGCAGCGGGGTCCTTCTCGACAGAGGCATTTAGTAGGCACTCAGATCGTATGACCAGCAGCCTCCAGTGCAAGTCCGATATCATAACATCTGGTACCTGACCATAGCCCCTCCCCCTAGCCGGTCCGTCCACCAACAACGAGCTTACATTAAGCATGAGTTTCTGCACGACGTTGGTCTGACTGGCTGCTGCCTGGTTGCCATTCTTCGTGGGATGCTTCCTCATAATCGACAAATTCATCATACCAGATTCGTCCTCGTCGATCATCTACCGCCAGGACATCCAGCCTGGTAGCCACCACCATGTCGAGCTTACTTGCATCAACAGTACCGCTTCCTGTGGTGATATCCTATCCCGGCCCTCGCTACTCCTCAGGAGACCACCGAGCTCACTCCTAGGCAACCGAACATGACCGACCGGCAATAGACACAACTATGGCCACCTATGGACCATCAAAGTGAGCTGCTGCTGTTGAGGTGGCGGCTTCTCCTCAGTGGCTTCTTTCCCCTTCCTCCTTAGGTCCGGCTTCTCACCTGTCCCACCGTGAAAAGAGTTGACCAGTGCCAAAACTAACTTTTGTTTTTCTCTTCAATCGAAGCATTCTTCGCAGTCACATACTCTGTGCACATGTCCAGCAGCCGGGCAGCCGTAGTCTCTATTTCAGTACCGAAACACTGCTCAACCAGTTCGAACCTGTCGAAGAGCCACTGCTAAATGCATAGGAAAAACGATGATACGAGAAATACACCAAGTCAGAACTTGCTAGGAAATAACGAGTCGTTACTCCCTACGACCGGCTCGTGGGAATTCGAAACGATGATGGTGATGATGATAAGAAACAGCCGCACACGGTAAGCTCACATGTCTCGGAAAGTCCCCATCGCCAACTGGTCATTCTCATCAAGCTCTGGCCCGTCCTCCTCGAGAGTATCTGCTATTGGTCCTTATGTAGAGTCTACCACCAGAGACCAACCTGTAGAGCATCCTTCCCGCTCTGCTATCTCCTCTCTTCTTTTCTTGATGCTGCTCACGAGTGTAGTGACGTTGTCGACCAGGCCTTGGTAAGACACTCTACCTAGGAAGCATACAACCCCGAATAGGAGCCAAGCTATGCTTGCAACAGTACTCCTACTACTACCATCTTCACCCTCCTCCGCTGCTGCCAATAAGGTCTTCACATCCCACCGTTTCAACCCTTCCATTGGACCCAGAGTAGCCTCCAGTATATCGGCTACCTGCTGAATTTAGTGACACTTCTGGAAGCTCCCTACTGTTGGACCTCTCTGTGGGTTAATGAGCCAATGCTGTCCTCATCTACGGCTTCGAACATGTGCTGGAATAGTTCATGAAGGTTGCCCGCGGCTGCCAGCTTGGGCGACTCTGGGTACCTGTTCGCCCAACCTAGACCCAGTGTTGGAGCAGGAATATATCTTCGCTTTCCTCAGCTGGCCATAGAAATTCGGCTGGGTGTAAAAAACGACGAGAAATTTTCCTCATTGTCACCAACACATATAGCTAACCATGTGGCCTTCACTAAAAGGGTCGTGAAATCTCACCTGGTCATTATAGAAAGCTCCGTTACTGTATTGCTGGTGTCCACGTCGAGTCCTGACCGAGCAGGCATATTAAGCCAGAGCACTCACCAAGGCCTACTACCCCAGGAAGACTGAGAGGAGCTGCTAGTAACAGAGGAGGTCTCGATTGCGGTCTCCTTAGATGCCTCCTGCACCGTAGGCTCATCGGGAAGACCATCGCCGTCGTTGGTGACTCTAGTGAGCTCAAAGGGCGTTCGAATGTCCAAGAAGGATCGAGTGAGCCTACGACCAACCCATACAGGTACGAAGAGAGGACCAACCCAACCCCTACGTTTTAGCCCGGATGGCACTGTCGAGGCGCTTGAGGTTGTCCACTGGTGTTGGGGTGTCTCGGCTCAGGACGAGATCATCATGTTCGAAGTGGTAAAACACTCCACCGACCTCACCCAGTTCTTCCATCACTACATAGAAGTACCTAAATTGACAACGAGTGGTGCGAACTACAGTGCGAATCAAAGAGCCATGCAAACTTCAGTCAGTTGAATTCCCACTATAGACTACGACACTGTTGCCAACCGCCATACTCAGCTCTCACGTACATGTTTCTAAATGTCTACAAATTGCCTCAAACGCCAAAAGAGATCTCAAAACCAGCAGTGTCCATCGCGGTTGAAACGGCATCGGGTCTTCAGCTTACACGTCAACGACCACAAGTGGTATCGGCTGAGATTTGGTCGGAGTGCTGAATTTAACACTAAACAATTCCTGCTTCGCTCCGCCTTCTATACGACTGCCCAAATACGTCATATGATACATATACCGATCGCTAGTGCCCCATCGCGCAATCTCCTCCTCCACTGCCACCCTGGCTGCTGCCTCCACCACTGCATTGGTGTTGACCATATACCGTATAGAGCTGACTAATACAGAGACCCCGACTCACTACCACCGAAACCCAAGAACGAGCCAATCACAGAGATGAGCAGTGAACATGTTTTTATAATTTTTCACCGGTGACGGTTGACAGGGTGTACACCATTCCATGTTCCCTGTGTGAGAAAATATGCACATGGTCAAATACATGTGTTGGTGGCAATATGAACATTCTGCAGAACTTTGGGGAATTCTCATCAGTTGCTGTACACTTCTACCCGAATTTTCATGTAAATTGCTGAGCCCAGCTGAGGAAAGCGCACATAAATTCCAACCCTGGAGACGGCAGACCCTGCTGCAAACACATACAGTGAGGACTTGGGAATTTTTCTGCCCAACCACCGGCATCATGTTGATCTATTCCTACCTAGTATTTCATCACTAATAAAATATTACCATTTTTTCATTAATAAATCGATCTCAAATTCTGGCACTGGTTTCTCGCATAGACCCGACCCTTTGACAACCCAACACGCTTGGGGTTAATAAAATGGCTCTTGTTCTCGTCGAAAGATGGTACCATCGGGAGACAGGCCAACCTCCCCTTCACAAACAGCATGCAAGAAGCCCATAAACCAGTCAGAGCTAAGGTCCTCCCATACACAGCCTAGTTCCGATATTACTTCACCAAATGGGACCTTCTGGGGCTGAGTGTCATCAGCAGAGGCGACCCAATGGCGAACACTATCCAATGCCTCCCTGCGGAGGTCGTGGGCCTTCAGAGTGCCGTCCTCATCCCGAGAGAGCTCCCCACTAGTGACCAACTCCTCAATGGCCATCGCGGCTACACACCTGATGATGAACACCACCGTAGTCGCGGTTGGTCAATTTCAACTCACACGAAGCGCTTGCATGGAAGCACTCCCGTAGAATTACTCAATGGTGGTCCCACCACTATCGAGCTCAGCTATGATTTTCGGTTGACCCATTTTCGGTCATTTTCTCCTATCTCCTTACATACTACGGGTATCATCTATTCTCAAATGGTTATTCCAAGTGCATTAAAGCACCCCAATTGAGATGTTCGTTGCAAAATAATACTCTACACAGTTGGCTGTCCCACCATCTAGCTCAACTGTATTTTTGTTGTTGATACCTTTCTCAGCTCTCCTTTCCGATCTCTATACATAATACGGATATTTTCCGTGTCCAGTTGTCATTCCAATTGCATGGAGGCGATCCGAATAGTAGTAGGTGGAAATTAGAGTAGTGATATTACTTCGATACACATTTCCCCGATAGCCGTATCGAGGTCCCATTCTCATCAAAAGGCACGTGGTATCGCGTATAGTTAGCCTCGAAGGCTCGCCTGAATTCCCTTATCTCGCTGGAGGAAGGGATAGTACCCTTGTGACGCCGCCAATCGATCAGCACCTGAAGACGACTTTTCAAAGAGTAGTACTGTAGTGGAGATCTACGCGAATGACCGTCCTATAGGCGGCAACAGCCGAGGCAAACGCTGGTGGGAGCCTCCTGGCACAGCCCGATACATAACAGGGGAAGTCGGGCCTCCGGTGGCATCGGCATGGGCATAGAGTATACCGCTGGCAGCTGATTGGGCCTAGCTGGATGACCTCTGCTGGTCGAGGGCAATTGCAGTGCTCTGAAAAGGCCACTATACGGCTGTGTCGTCCACATGGTCCATACTGGGCATGGAAACGTAGGACGAATGGAGCTCTAGTTTCACAAGGACACTTTACTGGGACTATCTCATTGGATGGAAACGAGCCACGGGTTGTCATTGTCACTGTGCACACAATAGCATACCGAAGATTCTAGTCTGGACAAGGTCCCACTCCTCCACCACATCAAGCCACCACTGAGCCTCTTGGTCCGGCAGATAGTCGTATATACCCTCTAGTGAGGTGATCCTGATCTGCAGTTTGTTCCGAAATGTCCTCAAATGTCCCTTCACCCCCACAACTCTACCTAATACCAGCTCACACAGTGACAGTGACAAGGATTGAACCCACATAGGAGCTCCGTGGCCTCGTCAGGGAGTTGCCTCCAAGCCTCGGCTGAGGACTCCCAAAGAACACAACTGAGTAACTCCCCGCTACCATCGTCAATGGACACCTCGACCAGTTTGGGTCCCCTACGAACTCCTACTATCATCCCTGAAGTACCCCCATTGGTACCAACAGAGGCGTTTGACGCAATTACCTCGTACGGCGACCTTCTCTGTGAGGATCGGCTGTTGCTCCTGGCCACTATAGGCTACACATAGAGAAGGGTGCCCCTTGGAAGCCTTGAGACTGCATGCCGGGGAGTGCAGTGTGCTGGCCAGACACTTTAGGTGAAAAGGAGCAGCCCTCTCGATTGGTATAGAGTCAAGCTGAATAGGCCTATTGGGCATGTTGGTGACCAAGTCCTCTAAAAACTACGTCGAAGCAGTTGGGAGATTCACTGCCATGAGTAGAGAGTTCACAGACTTGGACGAGTCTGATAAACACACGAAAGTTTCGAGCTACTACCAGTAACTTGGAACGCACATATAACCGATCTCACTCACTTGACTCCTCACAGAGATGACAACTCGTTCAGATGTGGAGTATTCGTGTTCTCATTGTGGTCCAGGGCGAGCGCGAATTACGATGGATGATTCGTCTGCGGTGAACTCGACATGAAATTTAAAAAGTTTCTAATCCTCAGTTGAAGCCATTCCTAGGGACCCATCACTGCGGATCAGCCTCAAGGCTTAGGCCGACGTAATACAACGCAATATTCGATTCTCACAGTCCCTACATAGTATTCTCGAGCATTTCCAAGGCGAGCGGTATACACAACGGAAGCGTGAAACTGTGGAAATACCGGCATGTTGCACGAAAGGTGACCTCCCACGATCCGTGTCTCCACTTCTGTACTAAACCACTTTCGTACTAAACGATGATAGGTGAGCGATTTATACCGGATCTGGACTTTTTCGCACGCAAACGATTAAGTTTTTTAGTGGGTAAAATATCCACTGTTGTACCAAATTCTGCACGTTTTTACTCACTTTATTTTTTCCGATAAAGAAATTTTTGACACCGGGTAAAACTTTACTTCCACTTCTGCACTAAATTTTTGGGATGCTTTTGCACGGGTTAAATTTTACGACTTGGGTTTTTTCACACGTCTTAAAACGACCTGCCTTCCGCTACTGTGAGTGAAGCCCTCACTGCGAGGAGAGCCGAGGACGTCCTGCGTCTAACGAAGAGTATACATGTCGCAATTTAACAAGTCTCAACGTATAACCTCATTCGGAATGAGGAATGAGTCATTCCTTGTAGACTACAAGGAATGACACCCTACACTTGTAGACTAAGTCTACAAGTGTAGACTCCTAAATTATGTCGTAATTATTACAGACCGTTGTGCGCTCCAGCGCAGTGTACGGAGACTCATGAACCATTATACGGTTTCCCGGTGTTTGTACTTGACTGTATTACTCTGTTATTACTGTTATTGTATTGTGCGCCGTGACACCGGTGGCGTCACGTATTTCTGCATGCGTGCTGAGGCCTTACTCGGGCACTTGCCCAGTGCTCTTAAAGGTTAGACTAAGGACAGGAGTGAGTTAAGCTTCTGATTCTTACTGGCCTGGGACTTAGGCTACAGCTTAAGTTAGTACACTGTGTTGAGGTTTACTAGCCGCTAGTGGTTATACTTCGTACGTCAAGTAACGTAGTCAAAGGTATGGTTTCGGAAATCATCAATAGATTAGGCATTATGTTCACTAGTGACTGTGGTTTTGATACATAGCGGCAAGAGTTCTGATGAGGATGCAGACATAGCTAGTTGGGTCACCCAACTTGGGTGATCAATGAACGCTTATCTTCGTCGTCCGATATTAAGGAAATATTTGTGGAATATTTAATTGACAACTACACTCTGAGAACTCTCATAAAAGCTTTAAACTCAGGTATTGAATTCCCCTTCAGGTGAGAATAACATGCTAGCTAGCGCGGGAAAGATTTCCGGAAACCTGCTAAGTTCTTTCCTAGTAATGCATGTAGCCCAATGGTATCTCGTACTAGCTTCATCGAACACCGAAAGACGAAACCGCTGGCGGTTAAAAACAACCACAGTAAGTCTAGCAATAACAAGAACTCCGCATAAATTACTCCCGTAACTCTGCTGTTGGACCGAAGCATTAAGTACACGTTTTGAACCATACAGCTGGCGTAGGGCTTGTACAAAAAACCCGAAGACGGGACCGACATATTCATACTGTCCATGAAATTCACCTGACCATCCACAACGGCAGATGCGGCATAGTGCCCACATGTGGGATCCAGAACGGGTTGAAGATAGAGCTCACGGCCTTTCAGGATGCTATCAGGGACCCGCGAGAAGCCGAAGTGAGTTTTTCCCACCAATACGCCTCGAGCAGCTGTAACCCCACCCTGCCGACAGAGCATAGCCATCCACATATCCACAATGTCATCAGGAATAGTACTTCCTTGAGTCAGGAGCTCTGCTTTGTTTTCGACCGTGACGGAGAGCTATTCGATCAACTATTTGCTATTTTTGGTCTAAGGCGAGCGCTATTTCATTTGGTTCAGAAGTGGTTTGACAGTGTTACAAGGTCAATCAACTGGGTCAAATTTTCCACAAAAGGAACGATTTTAGCACAGAAGTGGTTCGCGGAGCGAAGCGCTTCCCAAAGGGAAGTTTTCAAAATAGGGGCGAGCGCTACTTGATCTGGTTCAAAAGTGGATTGGTACAAAAGTGGCGTAATCCAATGATCGAAATAGGACTTTCTCATCCAACAGTTTTCTCTGCTCACAGAAAGTGCACTATTAGCCACATGAGCTTGTGAAGTCCGGGGTGAAATCAGTTACCCTAGTGTGGTCACTCACTGAGGTTTACAGTGTAGACTCCTATGGACTGGCATTTTCCTATCAGTTGCATTATTGCTGTAGAGTTGCTATGAGTCTAAGATTCGTCCTTAAACTCGACTATAGAGGAGAGTGCGTCCGGGTGAGGCCGGAGCCACAATACTGCAAAAGATTCACCCACATCTTGGAGTAATCACAACATGTATCTACCCTCACATCATTTCCATTATACCAGGTACATTAGAGAGGCCTGGCCAGAGCTGGCCAAGACAGAAGACTTTGGAGTCTACTACTACGACGAAGCTGGTGACCGTTGCACGCTGAATGAGAGGACCTTCCCCGACTGCATTATGCTGCTAGAGGAACGCAATGCTAATAAGGACGCTGAAGAACTACCGGTTCTCAAGCTGACCATCGAGCGCTCTCATGGGCGTCGCTCTCTGGCCACACCTTTGCCCAGACCGCCACATGTTATGGAGGAGACTTCTAGACGGGTCGAACAGAGAATCGGCTGGCGTTTGAGAAATCACTGCGAGCCGGTCACTAAGGGCGGCCTCGAGGGTATGCAGGCTAAGCCAGTGGTCCACTATGGGTTCATATGCGATGGATGCGAGATGGACCCTCTGATTGGTGATAGGTAAGCAGGAGTGCTCAAGTGAGAACTGCATAGGACTGTTTTTCAGGTATAAGTGCAACTACTGTGAAGACTTTGACTTTTGTTCGAAGTGTTTCGACAAGAGACTTACATTGGGCCACAACCCTTTCCATGGCTTTACGTGCTACAAGTACCCAAGAAGGCCTGTGGGCTGCTGTGCCTCGACACAGTTCACCGCGACCAACAGTGGCTCCGATAAGGATACTATGACGCCGACTTATCCACTTGAGGAAAAGTCTGTTGGGGATGCCCTTGTTACGCCTCCGACCAAGTCTGTTGGGACCCTACCAGAGCGCCAGGCTACTCGAGATGAGAGCGTCCAGTGGGCTGATATGCAGCATTGCGCCTTCGCTGGCCCTTGGGGTTCTATGGACATCTTTGTAGATGGTCCCACTATAGGAGATGGTCCCTCTATGGCTGCTAAAGTGGCTCAGGCTTGTACTGCCGCCACTGCGGCGTTGACCCAGCAGCCAAGTGCCCCTGTAGTGAAAGGGGACAACTCCACTGTGGATGCTGGAATCAACTGGGGCATTGAATGCGATCTCTGTGGGAAGCTACCTATTGTTGGTCCGAGGTGGGCATACCCCTGAACTGCGTATGAGATGGTTAATTCACCAGGTACAAGTGTACGATCTGTCCAGACTACGACCTCTGTGAGAAGTGTTACGGATTCACAAGCCCGTCCAAGTCTCATGAGCATCCCAAGGACTCTTTCCGCAAGCTGAGCCCTCAGGAGACCATCGATATACGCAAGAACCCGGAGATCTGGGCGGCAAGGTGTCAGCCGCCCGAGGGGGCTCCGACAGTTGCAGTTCCTACTGAGGCCATGGCTGAAGAACCGGAGGCTTGCAGTGAACCAACGTTCGGGCCAATTGTATTGATCCCTTCGGAGCCTGAACCAGCTGGGTAAGTCAAGCTTCCAGAGTGTCGGGGTTATTAGAATATTCGTTGGGCTGTAGGGCTGTGGATAGTACTCATGACAACCGCTCTGCTATGGAGTCAGAGATAGACGAGGAAATAGAAATGGAGGAGCCTCCAGTAGTGAGCACTGATGATGACAGTAGTAGTGGTAGAAAGCGGCGAAGGAGCATGGTCTGGTGACAGGCAACTCTTCGGCGTCGGAGTCGTCCTCGGAGAGCTGGATGGACCTTGGAGAAATGGACAACATTGAGGACGATATCTTGTTCGTTGGCACTCCACGTTCTGAGCAGTTCCAAGTAGGCCGCCTGAGTTTTGTGGATCAGCTCTCATGGCAATTCCAGGTTACTGAATCTGTCGAGGGGCACATGCTGGATGATGATGCTGCGGCTGAGGTAAGATGATCTCGATTCGGATTGTATATATTTTATGGTCGTACACAGGACAGTAGTGTGATGGGATTTCCTGACCAATACCCGATCAGGTCCATAGGACTAAGGATAGCTCTATAGCCAGAGATAGGCTTGTCGAGGCGTTGGTAGAGCATGAAGTGGTCGAGGACAGAGCGAGAGCTGATTTGTTGATCAACCAGGTAGAGGACATCTGCTCAGCGCCGGTTCGAGGCGTGGTCCTTTTATAGATAACCTCGAGTGAGGAGCTCCGAGGAATGCTGAGGTCACTCCTGAGCGAGACCCAGTAATGGTGTCGTCTTAAGACGGTGAAAAAATCTAGTCTGAAGTAGCTAGCAGCAGCCAGAGCTTCCATGCAGTGGTTGCTGTTGTTATTATGGTGAACATTTCTGCATTTCTGAGTGGAGGTGGAGGCGGCAAGTTGAGAGTATTAGTATCATCGTTCACTTTCCCATTTCATCTTATAGAAGTTGTCAATTCCTTTTGTTGCATTTTGATAGTATGTGTAGCGGTGATATGCTAGAGAGAGCGTCAATATGACTGATGGCTC